CAGGTAATTGTTGTTGTACCTTCTTTAGTCAGAGGTATACAAAATTTTATTTAGTAGACACAGGCTTTGAAATTTTCATAAACAGCTTCCGTCCATGCAGATGTAATGACTTGTGTGGTGGGTGAGAAAATAGTTGTATGGATATGTTAGTGACTTTGGTTTTAGGGAAAGGTGAATTCAGGAAATGGCTAGATCTGTGTTATTATTTATCAGAACAAAGACATCATAAAACAGGCCCTGAGAAGTGTCTCTACTTAAGAGACAGTTCTATGGGAAATTTTTCCAATAAACATTGTCAGGCTACTGATCACTAATGAGCAATGAAAATCTACCTTGACCAGCTCTACTTACTTACATCAATGTAATAGATTCAACAGTAGTTTTTTTTTTTTTTTTAATATGGAACTGAGCACCGGGACATAGAGTTAACTCTCCTTTGTGTATCAGCTACAACTTTATGTACTCCCACACTGTGAGTGCTTGCTGCATTAGGTATGTGTCACATCTGCCACATCACCTAGTTCTGACCACAACCTGCAGCAGCCATGCTGTCATCTCCTTTACAAATAGGGAAACTGAGGCTCACAAACTAATTAACTTTTCCATGTTCCTATAGCAAGTGCGTGTTGGAGTGTGGAAGACAGGCTTGCTAGACTTTAGAGCCGGAGCTATTCACAGCTCAAATCACAGTAGCAGTGGTAATTCGGATGATACACGTTTGCATTGATTATGAATGGTAATCTTTTCCATCTTCATCCATGTAATAGTCACAAAATTCTGTGATTTTGGCTGGGCAGGTATTGAAAAAGTTAGCTTTTGCATTTGTTAGGTTAGATGTATTAACTAGATCTTCTTATTTAATATCTATTAGAGTGTCTGAACTTTTCCCATCTTTCTTTGCCTGTGTTCTTTTCCTCTTACTTCCATTTTATTATCATTGAACACATCTCATCTAATTTACCATTTCCTTGCTTTTAATTTTCTCTCTTTTAATGTTTTTTTTTTCTACCTCTGCTCTTTCTTATTCACATCTATCTCAGATTATTGCCTGACTTCATGAAATTAAGCTGAATATTGGGTGAATTAAGTTGAGTATAGGGAGAAACAGTCTCTTCTCCCTAAACAAAACATATATTGTAGAGATAGGGATGGCTCTGGGTAGAAAATATTGGTTATAGTTTGTTAATTTTGAGATGAGAAATACCCTCTGCCTCTGCAATCTCTTTGAAAGATAATGCAGATGAAGGATCATCAGATTCATAGTTCCCAGAGCTGTTGTCAACCACCCTCTCATTCTGGAACTATTTACTTACTTTATGCCTAATTATCCACTTTGGGTAATAGTTAAATGAAAACTCTAAAGCATTATGGTGAATAGCAAATGATGGTATAGTTTACTATCAAGATGGTTATCACCACATATTTAAAAGGACAGATCACATTGCATCCTCTTCCTAAAAGCTTTGATCTCTAGATAATAGTAGTCCTTTCCCTGACTTTCTGTTTTAATTTTCTCACACATTCAAGAAATAAATACCTTTAGTGTATTTGTATACTGTTTTATATTGTGACTAGTATGGGTATAATTTATATTTTTTCCAATATGTTCATTGAGTTCTTCACTTAGTTGATGGAGAAAAAACCTGACCAATGCCTACTGAATTATCCAGAAAAACTATGAAATAATTGAAAAAATTATTGATTTTGAGGAGAATTAAAAACAGAAGAAATTATATAATGATAGCAAATACAAAAATGCAAAGTATAAAGTATTGAGAATCTCATATCTATACAATTTTCATCTAACATTTAATTGTCAGGTTTTGGTTAATTAACTATTGCTGTGCAAATGAATGTAGTGCAAGTGGTAATATGTGTGCTGCTTGCATTGAGTATTAGTTGATACTGGGAAATCACTTTTTTTATTACAAAAGTTTATTTTTACATCATTTTGGGGAAATCACATTTTTAAAAAATTATTTTTACTTTTCTCTTTTCCTATAACATCTTTAAGTTCTGAAACAGACCCAAAGTTTGGGATGTGATTCTGAGTTCTGGTATGAGTGTGAATATGGGCAATTCAGTTTATATTTGGCTATTTGGCTCTTAGTTTATATTTTTTAAATCTAAATAAAGTTCAGCCTGGATCATTTTGTCTCTTAGATCAGTATAGCTATGATTCTATAGGGTGCTTATACTTTCTCACTCAGAAGTCATGTTGTTTCATCATTTTCTGAGTATTTCTGGCATTTTCACTGGACTCTTGTTCACTCATCCATGGTTTTTTATGTGAATGGTCTTTTTCATCTGTTCTGACATTGAGCAGCATATGTGATTCCTTGTTCCTAACACAGGACCACAGATTTCTGTAACTGAAAATTTGAGACTATATAAAAAGAATGTATGTTGAGTCTATGAATTATTGACCCTGGAGGTGACAACAAAATAATGCATTGACTTGAGGCTGGAGAAGCTCTAGTCTTAAGCCAGAACTGGCATCAAATGACAGTGAGAGCATCTGAAGGTTTTAGGTTAGGGAGATGTATCAGGATAAATGAAATTAAACTTGGAGTGTATTTTTTTTGAGAAAGTTCTTCTTTTAATTTATGTATCAGTGTCTTACAGAATCCTGATTTCATGTGTATTCTAGTACCTTCAGCAAGAATTAAACATCAGGATTTATTTTTAGGTCTCACTGTCCACTAGCCTTTGATTATGGTGGGTGTTTTGACAGACAACAATCACAACTTCTCTACCCTCTTCACTGTGACCCTCTATTCCTGAAAACATGCTCCAAACTTCGTCTTTTAAAAAAATATTTATTTATTTATGCATACAGAACTGGGGTACAGGCCAGAAATGCAGGGGCAGTGAGAGAATTTGCCAGAGACAGAGTGGGGAGCAGAACAGGCAGATTGATGAAGTACACTGCTGAGGGGAGCAGCTGGCAAGTCAGGAAAGGTCTGTTGTACCATATGGATCATCTCCGGGTGGGGGGTAATCAAACTTACACCAAAGCAGCTATGGCCAGCTTGCAGTGCTGTGCCCTAACCTGTTGTGCCACCAGGAAGGGCCAGCACCAATCTTTTAGTATCTGCTTTAGATGCATGTGATGAAGTCAAAGTGAAAGCTCTGGTGCTCCACTATAATGTTACTGCAATTTGACATTCTTCTCATTTCCAAGTGGATTAAAAGGTTACATGTATAAATGTTCTTGGGGAAGGAGCTTATCACCATGATTTCAGACTCAATGGTGATACGATATTAAATGTTGGTGCAGGTTGGACACATAATAACACTGAATATTTTAAAAGGATTGAGATACCATCAGGTAGAAAGGATATGTGTGGGTGAGACTGAAGCAAGGTTGGGGGAAAATTTGAATATCTCAGTGTTTTCAAGGGCTGACTATAAGCATCTTACTAGTATAGATCAATACAAAGTGTTTATAGATATGTTCTGTGGGGCTTGGATTATTGTGTGTCTCAACTATTCTGTGTCTTTGCCTTGATTATTCTTTGCTTTACCTTGTTTTGACTTTTCTTTCCTCTCAGTCTGTAAAGACAGGGAAAGTGGATAAGGAACCATTTAGGCCAACAGTCCTGGTATGAAGATCTATTATACAAGCTGAAAACACATGAGCAGAAACGGCAATAGATTTTATGGTGAGAGTAACATAAACACTGAGACTTACCTTGACTTTCTTCCTATTTCCCAAACTTGGTTGGGGCCAGCTAGATATGCATCTTCTTCACACTTGTACATTCTCCTTTTGCATTCTTGATTCTTTGATCTTTTTTATTTTCTGCCTGATTCTAAGTAAACACGAGAGTGCCCTTAAAGCTAGAATGCACTTCCGTGGTGTAGTCTATCTAGGCTTCTAATTGGTCTGCACATGTATTCTGGGTAACACTTTTGCATCTTGCCATCGTATGTATAATGAGACACTTCACACCCTTTATGGCAAATAGGCCTATGCTTTAGAAGAAAATAGGGTGAAATTTTAAAGATTTGTACATTTGTGTGTGTGTGTGTAAAAGTCTTATTGAGCTAGATAGAAGGGCCCAAATGAACCTTTTTTAAGAAATGTGGCCAGTGGAGAATTTGGTTTGATTTTGATAGAATTTTTTTAAAAATGGAAAGATCTAGTAGTTCAGCATTGAGAGTAATATGCTAAATGAGTAAACTAGTCATAGAAAGGGAAAGAAAAAAATGCATGACTCCAATTATATGAGGTCTCTAAATAGTCCCATCATAGACAGGAAATAGAAAGGTACTGACAGGGATTATGGGGGGGGAAATGAGACCTGCTTGATAGTTACAGTATTCAGATTTGCAAGGGATGAGACAAGAAAGGTTTGCTTTGCCATATAGACCATCTCCTGTCAGGGGACTGAATTCATGCAGCAGTCGCTTCAGATAACTTCATATTGCTGCGTTTAAACCCCTTGTGCCACCAGGGAGGGTCTCTCCTTTTCATGGTTTTGAAGACCATCCTCATGTTTTAGAAAGTTTTCACTACTTAGGAGGTGATCCATCCATCAATCATAGTTCCCTCCAACTCCACTCTTTGAGTTCAACTTGTATGGCAATAAGAATATGAAATAATCATAAAAGAGGAGTGAAATATGTTGATATGGGAGTGTACAGTCAGATAAAATATGTATAACTGTATAATTTCCCATTGGACAATTAAATTTATTTCCATCTACTCTTCCTTCTCCCTTTTCTACAGGTACATTTGAAGCTTTTGTTTTTACCTAACTATCCTATTAATTTTAGCTGGTGAGATATTTGCTGCTATATGTCATCATGATATAATCTTTTGAGTGTACAATGTCATCATCATCATCGTTATTTAGTAAGTGTGAAGAATTGGATTAACCAGTAGTCCTTAGCTATAATGTGAACAATGCAAATAGTGAATTCCACTGTCATCTCTAGTGATCGCAATTTCTTTCTCACTTCCTAGTTCTCATAATTTCAGTTACATGCCAGTTGGCTGGATCAATGGATGGAGGGAATCGCTCCTTTGTGTCTGAATTTGTGTTTGTGGGAATCACCCATTCATGGGAGCTGCAGATTTTTTTCATGGTGTTCACCACTGTGTTCTATTTGTCAAGCATGACTGGGAACATCCTCATTGTGTTTTCTGTGACTGTTGATTCTCACTTACATTCCCCCATGTACTTCCTACTTGCTAGTCTGTCCTTCATTGACATGGGAGCCTGCTCTGTTGCCTCACCTAAGATGATTTATGACCTTTTCAGGAAGCGTAAAGTCATCTCCTTTGGAGGCTGCATTACTCAGATATTCTTCATCCACGTCATTGGTGGTGTGGAGATGGTGCTGCTCATCGCCATGGCCTTTGACAGATATGTGGCCATATGTAAGCCCCTCCACTACCTGACCATCATGAACCCACGAATGTGCATTTTACTTGTGGCTGCTGCCTGGGCCCTTGGTGTCAGTCACTCACTGTTCCAACTGGCATTTGTTATTAATTTACCGTTCTGTGGTCCTAATGTACTGGACAGCTTTTACTGTGACCTTCCCCGGCTCCTCAGACTGGCCTGTACAGATACTTACAAATTGCAGTTTATGGTAACTAGCAATAGTGGGTTTATCTGTGTTGGTTCTTTCCTCATACTCATCATCTCCTACATTTTCATTCTGTTTACTGTTTGGAAACATTCCTCAGGTGGTTCGTCCAAAGCTGTTTCCACCCTGTCAGCTCACATCTCTGTGGTCATTTTGTTCTTTGGTCCAACCATATTTATCTATACATGGCCACATTCCAGTTCACAAATGGACAAATTTCTAGCTATTTTTGATACAGTTGTTGCACCTTTTCTGAATCCAGTTATCTATACCTTCAGGAATAAGGAAATGAAGGCAGCAATGAAAAGAGTATGCAAACAGCTTGTGACTTACAGAAAGATATCATAAATGATATAATACTTTTTGACTAACAATTGTATATCTTTGTCTTTTCTTTCTCATTTTAAATTCAGACATCACAGGGCATCAAATATTGACTTAATTTTTTTTTTATACCTGTACCATAATTCTTAAGTGAAGAGTGTATTTTCTTTTCTCCTGATTGAAGAACCATTAAAGTGATATATCTCACTATCTATGTAAGTCCCATTAAGTTACTTTTAGCATTGTTTTGTAGGTATTGGTATATAGATCTTATTGATCTATTTTTTTTTTACTTTATTACCTTCATTTCTAAATATTTCAACTTTGATGCTGTTTTAAATAGTATAATTTGTTTCAATATAATTTTTGTTTTTAATGAATAGAAATTAGATTTTCACTTACTGACATTATATAATTGAAAACTTGTTACTTTACTAGTTTTTAAATGGATTTAATAGAATTTCTTCAAAGATGACCATTTTGTCAGGAAATAAAGATATATTATCTCTGTTCTGGTTAGAAATCATTTTATTTATATTCGTTGTCTTGTCTTGTTAGTTTTCAGTACAATGCCAAATAGAAGTGTTTAGAGCAAATATACTTGACTTATTTCTGCTCTTGTAAAAATAGCCATTAGTTTTTCTCAAGTGTTTTGCTAGTTACAAGATTTTTATAAATGCCTTTGTCAGGGTAAATGAAATCTGAGCAGTGTAGCCTCTAAAGAAAGCTCATAAGTCATCTTGGATGATGTGAAACATCAGGCTGTCATGTCAGTGAAGTAGAGACTAGCCAGTTGAAAGTGCAGGAGGGAATGGAATTTAGGGTCATGGTCACAGAAATAGTGGTCATTCTTGTTACACAGAGCACAGACAAGAAACCCTGGATCTCCCATGAAAAGGTGAGATATAGCTGGATCTCCCACGAAAGGGTGAGTCCCAGAAACACAATCTCAGACATAACCAAGTATCCCCCCCCCATCAATTTATATTATTCAGCCTAGTGGAGTGCCATTGAAATTATGGGAAGTAGGAAAGTAAGAAAGAATTTATGATTATTAGGGAGGATAATGGTGTGAATTATTTACATGTAATGTCCACATTACAGATGGAGTAAGCCAATGATAATGGTGATATTTGTGGTGATAATGATGGTGAAGACTTAGAGGCTTGGCATATACATGAAATGAGATTTTGTGTGTGTGGGTAGTAAGAACTTGACATAAAGACAAAATATAGGAAAAAAATATGATTCTATTATTAAAGACAGCATAAGGTTAAAGGTTGTCACAGAAGCAGAAGAATGAGAGAAGACATTAGAGAGCTTATTCAAAGAACTAGTAAGGCAACACTTGTCACCTAGGGCTTATGCCTCTGCACTATCACCATTATGGCCTGAGTTTGACCAGGCCTGGGGATTCAATACACATTGGTGAAGCTGACTTTTCTTGTCTTGCCTGCTGCCCCACTGAGCAGTGATTTCAATAAATTCACCTGTGCTTCTCCCAGACTGATTCTGCGTATCCTTTCATACCCACAACCCTGCATCTCTGGTCTTCACCCCAGATCTATGCAAAAATGAAAGTCAAAACAAAACAAAACAAAAACACTCCTGGTGAAGAAACAAAACAAAGGGACAAACAAACAAACAAACAAACAAAACTAAAGAATAATAGAGGAAACATTTCTAAATCTGGAAAGGAACTATGTATGTAAAACCATGAAATTATGATATACTTGTTATCTAAATGTAGTGAGATGTATACAAAGGCACATAGTTGTGTGTCTTCCTAGCATTCAAGACAAAGACAACATATTGAAGGTGGTAATATATAAAGGTACTTCCGTCAAATATTCATCAAGTTTAGTTAGTAGAAGAAGCTACAAGCAAGGAGGTAATGGAATGGTGTATTCAAAAATGATCAAACATAAAAACTGCCAGTCAAGAATATAGTGGCTAGACACTCTTTCAGATATAAAATATATAGAAAGGCTTTCCTGGAAAAGAGAAACTAAAGGGGTTTGGAAACTCAAGACTACCCATACAAAGGATGTTGAGATAAAATCTTCTATATAAATTGTAGAGAAAAATGTCCACAAAAGTCTCAGAGATAATAGAACCAGAAAACTGAAGTCAAAATGGCAGTTGCAAATACTCATAGATCAATGATCACCCTTATTATAAATGGACTGAACTCAGCATCAAAAGCCACAGTATGGCAAGTTGCATTAGATACAGTAACTCAATGATTCACTATCTTTAGGAGACCCAACTAAACCCCAGAGATAGAAACTAGCCAGTGTAAATGTTTGGAAACAATCCTACAAGCAAATGAAGAAAAGCAGGGAAAACTGATCTATATTCTACTTGATAGAGATAATTTTAAAAGAAAACTTTGTTATATAATTATTCTGATGTTACACTAAATGTTATCAATATTCTACATGTATATCTCTTTCAAAATGAAAATTATAAAAATGAACAGGTTGATACTAAGATTAAAAAAATGTTAGAGGTGCAGGTTCTAGATCTTTTTTCTGAGTTTATTGGCATTTTCAACTAACTTACAGGGCCAGGCAAGAATTTAATAAAAAAAAGGTAGGCATCATTTTTGTATTTTTAAATTCAGGGTCTTAAATAATTATTCAGAAGAATCAGTGATACTTGTACTTTCCATCATTATTATTTAAAAATTTTTATAGGAAAATAAATCTCAAATATTTGTCTTTTGTTATTTCCCATAGGTATTTTGTTACTGGTATTTTTTCATAACTTTGCTTTTCTCCATTTTTTATGCAAGTTTCTAGATAGATAAAACAGTTTTGGCAGCTTACACTTGAGCCATGATTTACATTCCTAACTTAAAACTAATATTAAAAGCATAAAATCATTGATTCAATTTTCTCTTCCCTGTTTTTATTCAGTCATTATCTGGTTTCCTTCTTACTCAATTGTTGTCTTTTCACTTCATAAAGAGAAAAATTGTAGTAGAGAAAGGAAATGGCAATTTCATAGAAAGAGAGGTCATCCCCAAGTGACTCATTAACCAGTTTCCTCCTTTCCACTTTAACCCAAGGAAAATCAAGATGATTTTAAGATACAAGTTCCCATAACAGACTGACTTCTTGGTTGGCAGTACCACGTCTCTGAAATTCCATTTGGTCACTCCCTAAGCTCCAGTTTTCTTTGCACAAGGGAGAATTATGCAACAGACAGAAACTTTCTGAGTTTTGCTCATACTGGAAGATGCAGTTTCTCTGAGGCAGAATGATAAAAATTTACCTACTTATTGTGTTTCAGGTACTTAATAATTGAAAATGAGTATACTTAACAGGGTTTGCTTCTATCATTAGTAGTTGTGTGTAGGCCTCTTTGTCATAGGTGGTTTAGTGGTTTGAGGTTTTATGCTGCCACATATTCACATGCCTTAATTTTATGATTTTTTGGCTGTAGAATAAGACACTATTTGGAAAATGGTACAAAAATTGTATGTTAAGTTTTATAAAAAGTAATCTTCACTTATGTCAAGATACAGAGTTAGGTCACCCATTTCAGAATTTTTCTCTTTCACTTATCCAAATAACAACTATCCTCTCCCTCAGAAATAAGCAAAATTCTGTTATATTAAAGATTCCCTTGTATCTTTAAATATTATCTTCCAAATGTGTATCCCATGTTATTCTAGTTTGTCTTGCTTATTTTCTTTTCCATTTGACTCATCTTTCAAATTTCTAACAGATTTTCCTCTGTGCTTATTCTTTTATTTATAATTTACTTGTTGAAACACTTGGACATTTGATACTTGATTTCAAGCACTATGAATGTAGCTGATTGAAGACTCTTGATGTTGTTTAACATTTCCATTGGTCTTTGTATTTTAATTGGATGTACATATAACCAAACACATGCTTAATCCCAGTTTTGAAAAAATTATGTGATGTTATGGTTATGCATCAGAAGATATGATAAGTGTTCCTTTTGTTACTAGTAGCTGTTAATACTCAGTATGTGTACATACACATGTATGTATTGTATGTTTGTGTGCATATATAGATGTAGATACATGATACAGTGTGGGAAAAAAATGGGAATGTGAAATGAGAGCAAAAGAAAAATTACATTGGTAATATTAATAATATCCAACTCCAGTTCTTTATTCTTATCTATGCCATTCTGGTTTTGTACCTATATCCTTACCTTCTCCCAGTGAAAATCTTGGGTCCTGACTGTGGGTGTGTGTTTGTCTGTATATAAATAAACATTGAGATAACATTGGTTTATACCACTTATATATTACAACTATAGGGTCTCTCCCATAGCCCAGGTTTTGGTACTACACTGAACCATTATGAAGATAACCATAATCTACCAAAACAGTCCATTGTAATTTTGTTTACAGTCCAGTGTAATTTGTTACAGTGCACACACCTTGCTTCAGAATTACTAAATGAATTGACTGGAATAATAAATAAATTATTGTTAACAAAATAAATTATCATGGAGTTATTTTTTTTAATTGTATGTAGCCAAAATACTATTGTTACAAGTTATTAGAAAATAACAGGAACATTCCTCCAAATTCAATTAATTAACTACTGTTTTCAGCTTGGCTGTGACATTGTATTGAAATATATTGTGCTATACTAATGATAAAGGACTGATCACAAAAATATATAAAGAACTGACGAAACTCAACAAAAATAAAGTGAACAAACACTTAAAAACTGGGCAGAAGAGCTAAAAAGACACTTCTCCAAAGAGGAAATGCAGGCAACCAAGAGACATATGGAAAAAATGTTCAACATCACTTGTAATAAGGGAAATGCAAATTAAAACCACAGTGAGACACCATCTCACACAAGTGAGATGGCACATATTAAAACAGCTAACAATAAGTGGTTGGTGAGGATGTAGAGAAAAAGGAACTCTCCTGCACTGCTGGTGGGAATGCAAAATGGTACAACCACTGTGGAAAGCTGGCTGGAGATTTCTCAGACTGCTAAAGATGGAGTTTCCACATAGCCCAGCAATCCCACTCCTAAATATTTACCCA